TTTTATTACAATTTTATATCCTCATTATCTATTTTATATGAATAAATATATCACTAATAACTGTTTTTATCTTTAATTACAGGTTAATGAAGAATAAATCTCAACTTCCCATCTCTCAACAAAAATCCATTGATTAAATGAATAAATGATTCAAGAAGCCAAAGTGAAATTTTCGAATTTGTGAAGGCCCAAAGCAAAAAGATTACACAAGGGAAACAAGACCGGATGCAAACAAGATTGGATTTTTATGCAAAGTTGGAATGAAATGGACTTGGATGCAAAGAGTGAAATGAGTTGGGCTTTTATGCAAAAAATTACGAATTGCTACAGTGACCGAACTCATCAAATGACCGGACTTGGACCTGCTGCATTCTTTCTCAAACAAATGAAGAGTGGGCCGGATTTTTATTTTTGAAAATCAAATGCTCATCACTTGAATGGGCCGAAACTCTAAGTGGACTTGATTGCTTCAATTTTTGAAAATGAAATAGCTAAACACTCCATGACCAGACTTGAGGTGGAGTTGAAATCACAGCAAAGAGTTGGGCCGAAATTGTGACCGGACTTGGGCTTGGAATTTGCAAGAAAATTCTTTTGAAAATCAAGTGAACATGGGCTCAAGAATTGGATTTTGATTTTCTTTTGAAAATCAAATAAATCAAAGGTGGAGATTGTTGCTTGGGGCTCAAGACAAATCCAATGGCTCATATTCATTGAAGATTACTATAAATAGGGGTAGAGAGTGAGGGGTTAGAGGTGTGAAAATTTTGTAAACTCCTTTTGGAGAGGAGGGCTACTCTTAATTGAGAAGGCCTTCCAAAAATTGTAACTTTAGTTGCAATTAATAAAAATAATTTTTTCCTCTTTAAATTTGTTCTTTCTCCTCTTTGTTGAATGATGAGGATGGAGATGAAGAGCAATTTGAAGGTTTGCATTTCTTTTCTCTTTTATTTCTTTTTAGTAATTTCTTTATTATTGCTTATTAGTTAGATTTAAATTCATGCTTGTAGTGTAGATTTATTTTCTTGTCTTTTTTATTTCTTTTTGCACTTTAATTTGTAGAGTAGATTTATTTTTCTTGCATTTAATTTCTGCAATTTATTTTGTAGTTTAGATTTTTATTTTCTTTGTAATTAGATTTATTTCTTGTTCATAGTTTAGATTTTTCTTTTCTTTTTAATTTTGTAATTAGTCTTCTTTTTCTTGTTTTTATTTCTTAAGATGTGAATTTAATTCTTGTAGGAATCTTAGAATTGTATGAAACTAGTCTAATTTCCTTTATATTGTATGAATTATTCTCTTGTACTTAAAATGTTCATGTTTAGGATAATCAACTAGAGAACTAATCGGTAGAAGAAGAATTTGATAATCTATGCTTATCTTAAATGGTTTGATAGGTTATGCTTATGAATTCTAGGATTATTATCATGTTGTTGTTCTTATCATGAATAGTAATTTTAACTTAGATGATAATTTGATAGGTTACACTTTCCTTAAATGGTTTGATAATCTATGCTTAATAAATCTAAGTTGAAATATGATAAAAAGAGAATAGTTTATATTTTGTAATTGAAATTGGTTAGTGGATTATATTCTAGATTTCTTACCTCTTTTGAATCCTCCATCTTGTCTTTCTTAAATTTTCTTTTCATTCTTAGTTTTATTTCTTGATTTTATTAATTCATATTTCTTGCCTTGTGATTTCATTTATTCTTTGATTCTTTCTTCTCTAAAATTCAATTTATTATTTTTTGCATATATTCACAACAATCACTCATCACAATCACACTTATTCTTTATTCCTAATTGTCATGCACAAAACATAAGAACCATTTCTAATAATCTCTTAAAATCACCTTCCTCGTGGGATCGATATTTTTATACTATAACTTGATAAATTGTGCACTTATAATTTTGGTACATAATTATGCTGCATCAGGGGCTGCTAGATCGGAGTTGTGAGGGAGGCGGCGCTGAGCTTGGCTTGAGGGTGGTGGCGGTCATAGATGCGGCCAGAGATGGGAGGAAGACGGCGGCTTTGTGGAGGGTTCGAAGATCTGGCACAGAGGGGAAAAAAGCGGTGGCGGATCGGCGCTGGTGATGATGGGGAGAGAGGGTGGCGATGGAGGGAGAGGGTGGTGGTTGCTTGCTGCGGTGTGGTCGGGGATGATGTGGAGGAGGAGGCGGTGATTTAGGGTTAGGTCAGAGAGATTGAAAGGAGCGCTGGGGTTTGGAACGAAAGAGAAGGGGAAAAGTTTTTCTTTTTTTTATTTGGGCCATGGGTGTGGTATATGGGTGTGGTGGCCTCTGAATTTTTTTTCCTGTGGACCATGGGTGTGGTGTACACCACCCCTGGGTGTGGTAGGCTCTGAAAATTTTCTACCTGTGGACCATGGGTGTGGTTTACACCACCCCTGGGTATGGTAGAGTCTGCCATCCCATTTTAACTCCTTTTTTATAGTTTTTTTCGATGCCATGTCCTCCTTTCTTCTCAACTGCATGATTAAAAATCTTATAAGTTAAATTTGTGCCGATCCAATTGCCTAAAAAATAAAATTAAAATGAAATAAAATAAGATAAAAAAATGGATGAAAACTTGGGTTGCCTCCCAAGAAGCGCTCGTTTATGGTCATGAGCTCGACTCCTTTTTTCTTTCAATTCTCTGACGAAGGGGGATCTGAAAGGGTATACGTGACCCCTATCCCGTGTTGTTCCCCTACAATGTAGTGCTTTAATCGTTGCCCATTCACCTTGAAAGATCCCGTTGTTTCACTCCAAACTTCAACAACTCCACTAGGAAAAACCTCACGGATTTGAAAAGGTCCGGACCACCTAGACTTGAGCTTGCCCGGAAAAAGCTTCAAACGAGAGTTGAACAGTAGCACCATATCTCCTTGATTAAGCTCTCTTCGAAGGATATTCTTATCGTGCCATCGTTTAGTCTTTTCTTTATAAATGCGAGCATTCTCATAGGAATCTAAACGTAGCTCATCTAACTCATGAAGTTGAAGCTTTCTTTTCTCACCGACGGTCTTCATATCGAAATTGAGCAACTTGATAGCCCAATACGCCTTATGCTCTAACTCAACTGGGAGATGACACGATTTGCCATATACCAATTTTAATGGTGTCATACCTATGGGTGTTTTGTAGGCAGTTCAATAGGCCCATAAGGCATCTGTGAGTTTCATAGACCAATCCTTTCTTGAACGATTAATTGTTTTCTCCAAAATACTCTTAATTTCACGATTCAAAACCTCCACTTGACCACTAGTTTGAGGATGATATGGTGTGGCAACCTTATGGGTGACCCCCATATTATCTTAAGAGAGCTTCGAATTTTCTTTCAATGAAGTGTGAACCTCCATCACTGATTACCGTCCGTGACACCTCAACTCTTGGAAAAATAACGTTCTTGAATAGTTTCACAACAACTTTAGCATCGTTGGTGGGGGATGCTATCGCTTCTACCCACTTGGAGACGTAATCCACCGCCACTAAGATGAACTTGTTATTACACAATGACGGAAATGGTCCCATAAAATCTATCCCCCACACATCAAAGACCTCAATTTCCAAGGTGGAGTGTAAAGGCATCTCATGTCGCTTTGAAATGTTCCCGGTCCTCTGACAACTATCACAAGATTTCACGAACTGTCTTGCATCCCAGAAAAGACTCGGCCAATAGAAACCTGATTGTAGAACTTTTGCAGCTGTCTTTGAAGTGCTTGCATGTCCCCTGTAGGAAGATGAGTGGCAATGATGGAGAATACTGGCAACCTCATCTTCAGGAATACACCTTCTAAACATCCCATCAACACACCGTTTGTATAGAAACGGTTCATCCTAAAAATAATACTTCAAGTCAGCAAAGAACTTCTTTTTCTGTTGATAGCTCAGATCTGGAGGCAAGACTCCACACACTAGGTAGTTGACGAAGTCCGCATACCATGGTGCATCCAATCTTTCTATGGCTAACAATTGATCATCTGGGAAAGATTCGTCGATCAGTAGTTCATCCTCCTCCCTATCATGTGATTCTGGTTTCATCCTCGACAAATGGTCTGCCACCAAATTTTCTGTCCCTTTCTTATCCTTTATCTCTAGGTCAAATTCTTACAAAAGTAGTATCCATTGAATCAACCTAGGCTTGGCATCTTGCTTGCTCAAAAGATATTTGATGGCGGAATGATCGGTATAAACGATGACTTTGGACCCCCACTAAGTAAGACCTGAACTTGTCAAAGGCGAAAACAACTGCTAATAACTCCTTTTCAGTGGTAGCATAGTTAACTTGGGCCTCATCAAGAGTGTGACTAGCATAATAAATTGCATGAACTATCTTGTCCTTTCTTTGACCCAACACAGCACCAACCGCGTAATCACTTGCATCAATCATGACTTCAAATGGGAGATTCCAATCCGGCGGTTGCATAATAGGAGCTGTTATCAATGCTTCCTTCAACCTACAAAAAGCATCAAGATATTCATCAATGAAATCATAGGGAGCGTCTTTAAGAAGAAGTTTAGTTAAGGGTTTTGCAATTTTTGAAAAGTCTTTGATGAAACGCCGATAGAAACCGACATGTCCCAAGAAACTTCTTACTCCCCTAACCGATGTTGGTGGCGGTAGTTTTTCAATGATTTCCACTTTTGCTCGATCAACTTCAATTCCTTGCTCGGACACCTTGTGTCCTAGAACTATTCCATCCCTTACCATAAAATGGTATTTCTCCCAATTTAGGACTAAATTAACTTCTTCGCAACGATGCAAAACTCGAGACAAGTTAGCTAATCAACCATCAAAAGTAGTTTCGTACATGGAGAAATCATCCATAAACACATCCATAATGTCTTCTATAAAATCAGAGAAAATAGCCATCATACATCATTGAAAAGTGGTGGGGGCATTACAAAGACCGAAAGGCATGCACCTATAAGCAAAGGTCCTATAGGGACATGTAAAAGTGGTCTTTTCTTGGTCACTAGGATGAATAGGGATTTGGAAAAATCCCGAATAGCCATCTAAATAACAAAAATAGGAATGCCTAGCCAACATTTCCAACATCTGGTCTATAAAGGGAAGTGGAAAATAATCTTTTCGGGTTGTCTTGTTCAATTTTCTATAATCAATACACATCCTCCAACTCGTAACCGTCCTAATAGGGATAGGTTCGCTATTCACATTCTTAACTACGGTCATACCCCCTTTTTTGGAACCACATGAACCAGGCTAACCCATTCACTATCTGAAATGAGATAGATTACACCAGCATCTAGTAGCTTAAGCACCTCTTTTTTTAACCACTTCCTTCATGTTAGGATTTAATCTACGCTGGTGCTCTATTGAGGGTTTATGATCATCTTCCAAGAGAATTCTATGCATGCAAATTGATGGGTTGATTCCCTTAATGTCGTCCATGGTGTATCCCATGACCTTGCGATGCACCCTAAGTGTTCTAAGCAACTTATCAGTTTCATTTTCATTTAGACATGCATTCAAACTTATCAGTTTCATTTTCATTTAGACATGCATTCACAATCACAGGATAAGTAGAGTCAGGGCCAAGAAATTCATACCTTAAAGAGGAAGGAATGGGTTTTAATTCTACCTTTGGAGCATTATCCTTTTCACAAATAGATCCTTTTGGCTCTACATCAATCTTTCAAGCTTTGCATTTCGAAGTGGAGCCGTTGATGTTGATTCTAAAGATTGAGCATACGCGGCTACCTCAGGGTCTTCATCATTTATTGAACCATCACTTACCAAACATTTCTCAAGTGGATCAGCTGAGTTATTGTTTGCAATTTGCTCATGTGTACACTTGTCAATAACGTCGACCCTGTAACAAATTTTATTAGTTAGAGGGAGTTTCATAGTATTACTTAAATCAAATTCTATCATTTTCCCTCCAATATTTAGGGAGAGCTTTCCATTTTTAACATCGATTATAGCACATGCAGTAGCAAGGAAGGGTCTTCCTAATATAATTGGAATGTTAGAATCTTCTTCTATTTCCAAAATAACAAAATCAACCGGGATAAAGAACTTACCAACCTAGATAGGTACATCTTCAAGTATACCTGCCGGATACTTTACCGATCGATCCGCCAATTGGAGTGATATCGTGGTTGGATTCAAATCACCTATGCCAAGCTTCTTACAAATAGACATCGGCATCAAACTTACGCTTGCACCTAAATCACACAAAGCACGATTAATAGAGACATCACCAATAACACAAGGAATAGAAAATGAACCTGGATCCTTAAGCTTAGGAGGCAGCTTATTCTGGATGATAGCACTACACTCCTCAGTAAGGGCCACAGTCTCGTATTCTTCCAACTTCATTTTATTGGATATGATCTCTTTTAAGAACTTAGCATAGGATGGCATTTGAGAAATAGCTTCTGTGAATGAGATATTGATGTGCAACTTTTTTAAAATCTCCAAAAAATTTCCAAACTGTTTTTCTAACTTAGCCTTAGCTAACCTTTGGGGAAATGGTAGAGGAGGCTTGTAAGGATCGGGGGCCACATATTTCTTAACTTTTTCTTCTTCCTGCATCTAGGTCTCATTATCCACATCTATCACAATTTTACTTTTCTCTTCATGATGACCATCCACCCCATCATGTTCCTTCATCTTAGGTCTTTCATATTGTTTTCCACTCCTAAGGGTTATAGCATTCACATGACCTTTGAGATTCGTCTCAGGTTGTTCAGGTAGCATGCCTGAAGGCCTAGAGGAAGAGCTAGCATTTTGCGCCAATTGAGTGATTTGTGTCTTTAACATCTTGTTATGTGTAGCTAGGGAATCCATCTTGGAGGCCAATTGTTTTACTACCTCATTCGTGGTTTGTTGTTGTTGCTTAAACTCTTCATTCAATTTCGACCGAGTTGTCACAAACTTTTCCATCATATTTTCCAAATTAGACCTTTGGGGAGGGAGATTAGATTGAGGAGCACGAAAACCAGGTGAACCAAAATTAGATACAGGCATGAGCTTTCCCGGTGGGTTTCTATAAGAAACATTAGGATGATTCCTCCACCCCGGATTATAAGTTCTAGAGAAAGGGTCTCCCTTCTGATTAAAGTTATTAACATAGTTAACATGTTCATTACCAGAAGTATCAATGGATGGGGGGTTTCCTAATTGACATCCAAGTGTAGAATGACCCACATAACCACATATCTCGCATGCAATTGAAGTAGACGCCACAGAATTAATGCTCATGTTTTTAACTTTTTTAAACAAAGCATCAACTTTAGAGGATATATGATCTAAAGCATCAATTTCATACTTTCCTCCTTTTGATGTCTGAGCATGCTCGTTCGCCCATTGATAGTGATTCTGAGTCATGTCTTCAATGAGAGTGTATGCCTCGTCTATTGTTTTGTTCATCAAAGCTCCTCCTGCAGCAGCATCAACAGTCATCCGAGTATTGTAAGTGAGCCCGTTGTACAAGGTGTGAACAATTAACCACTTCTCTAGTCCATGGTGAGGAAACATCCTTAATAATTCCTTGTAGCGTTCCCAAGCTTCATAGAGGGATTCTCCTTCCTTCTGTTCAAAGCTTGTGATCTGGTTCCTCATCTGTGGTGTTTTACTTGGGGGGAAATACTTTGTAAGAAATGCACTGGACAACTGATCCCAAGTGGTTATGGACCCAGCGGGCAATGAGTGCAACCAAGCCCTAGCCTTATCCTTTAAAGAGAATGGAAAAAGTCTGAGTCGAATAGCATCATTGGTCACTCCATTAAGCTTCAAAGTGTCGCAATACTCTAAGAAAATTGACAGGTGGAGATTCGGCTCTTCAGTAGCACCTCCTCCAAACTGATTTTGCTGAACCATTGAGAGCAGTGATGGTTTTAGCTCAAAATTATTAGCTTCAACAGTGGGCCTTGTAATACTTGATTGCATGCCTTGAGCATTTGGGGCAGCGAAATCCTTAAGAAGCTGATTCTGATCACCCATTGTAGCTTGTTCTGTGTTCCTTTGCTCCCTTATATACCTTCTTATCTCTGCAAGAGTCACCGATAATTCAGGATTTTTTTCGTTGTGTACTTCTGTTTGATGCCCTTACATAAAAGAAAGTGAGTAGCGAAGAGAATAAAAAAAACTAGTCTAGTTTAATAACGTAAGCACTTAATATTAACACCGTAGTCCCCGGCAACGGCGCCAAAAACTTGGTAGGAAAAATCTGCAAGCGCACAGACTCGTTGTAGCTATCAAGGTCGATCCCACAAGGACTAGGATTAATTACCAAATTTCACGTTATTCGACTAGCTAAACTAATGAGTAAATTAGAAGAGATGAAAATTAAAAGAAATAAAATAATAACTAATCAGGTGGAATTCAATATAATAAAGAGCTAGGATTGAGTTATCACCACAACTTCGATGCTCAATGATGAATTATTTCAGTTCTCGGTGTTGGTTTAAACTAAAAAGGGTAAATTAGCCAAGAATAATCTAAAGCCTCTTTCAAGATCTAAAAATCGTGCCTAATTAATCTTAATTAACCTACTTTCATGGAATCAAGATTAAATTAAACCCATTAAGCTCTTTGCTAATCAAAATCAAATCCCTAAGGAATCTAGCCTACTTTCATGGTTCGAGCTCCCTGCTTAATTTCTAGAGATCCGGTATTAATCTTCACCTTTCAGTCCTTCAATTAATTATCTATGATTGCTAATACGGTGATCAAGCGAATCAACAAAATTAAAACACTAGAAATCAAGTTTAAAGATTTAAACTTTCACCAAGAACCTACATCAATTCATCATCAATCACCAAAAAAGTTGGGTTCTTTCCCAATCCTAGATAAGAAATCTACTAACACATGATTGGGATAAGAGAATACATCAAATAATTATGCAAATCAATCATAAAAAGAAATAAATCAAAGAGAGGAAAGAATTAACCCGTCTTTCAATTGAAATCTCCAAAATCAAAACTAGCAATCCAATCTTGTACAAGAGATTAATGTCTTTCTTCAATACTTGAACTCCAAAAATAATTGCTAATTGATGGCTAGGAGAACATAACAAAAGATATCCAAATCCTAAGTCAAAACATCTATTTATATATCCCTAAAAATCTAGAAAATAACTAATTCCCGTACCACAGGTGTGGTCTGCACCACACCAGGGTGTGGTAGGGGCTGTTTTGCTGATTTTGTGCTTCTTTATATAGGTTTTGGTATTTTGGCCATAACTTCTTCGTCCAAACTTGAAATGGGGTGATTCAAATTGCGTTGGAAATATGTTGAAGAGATCTACAATTTTCATCTTTTGAGTTTTTCTTGATTCGAAATGTATCATGGTTTAATTTCTAATTCTTCATACTCATGCATCCGTTTTCTTCACGAACCATGCATTCAAAATCTTGTTGTTGCTTCAAACTCTTGTATAACTTCCAACGATCATAAAATCTTTCAATATTGAGACAATACCTACATATAATAACACAAACCACAGCAGTATCCTCGATCTAAACACGAAATATGCATTAAACACTCGTAAATCATGCTTAATAAACACGAAATATGCATTAAACACTCGTAAATCATGCTTAAAACACACTAAGATAATGCATATTTTACGTGTTTATTGCATTAAACACTCGTAAATCATGCTTAAAACACACTAAGATAATGCATATTTTACGTGTTTATCAGGTTCGCATGAATAATCGAGGCATAATGACTAGAAAATGGAATGGTTATTGTTTTCCTAAAACTGAGCAGGTCCCTAAAGGAAACATGGGAAAAAATGTACCTTACTTAGATGTTAAACAATCTAGAGAGAAAATATTTAAAGTGCAATCCTATAGAACTACACATATTAATTTGGAGAAGAAGACATGCACTTGTTAAGCTTGAGACGTAACACGTATTCCTTGTAAGAATGCTGGTGCAATCATAATTTATATGAAAAGAGATGTTTACCAATATTGTAGTTGGCTTTATGTCCGTGAAAGCATTTAAGAAGGCCTATGATCCAATTATTTATCCCATCCCAGATTATGAAAAGAAAAGCATACCAAGAGGATGAAATTGAGATATTGCCACCAATTACTACTAAAAGAAAGAGAAGAAATGAAACAAGATGTATCAATAATAGAACCATTTATAAATGTCTAGTGAAATGTTATCGATGCAAAGCTAAAGGTCACAATCGAGCTACTTGTAACGAACCAAATGCTGATTAGCATGGATTGCTAAGTAGTACTATACTTTTGGAAGAGCTCTATAGGTTGCCAAGACTTTTGTAGCTTATTGTGGAAGATTTTTGTAAGCTCTTGTTAACAATATGTGGATTCAAGCTATACCAGCTTTAGGAATGTAAGACTAATTAATATAAAGTATATGTTTACTATCTCTAGACTGTTATGGTAATTTATCATCTAAAGATGAAGATATCGAAAGATTGTCTGCATAGGCTAAAAAAGGCCATGGTCCAAACCAGCTTAGAGGCTCAAAAGCCCAGCCAAGGGCAAGTCTATCGGTCAGTTGAGTGGACGAGTTATTTTTGACCAAGGGTCATCATTACCGACTCGAAGTGTGGGATCAGTCAGTCCCTCATAATCAAGACGACTCCTCAAGCAGACATCTCGACTATACACTCGACCTGAATCTCACTCGGCTGTCGAGTCGGGAAATCACAAAGACAACTCACGAACCGACTCGCCTCTACTAAGGGGATAAGATCCAGCTAAGCCCACCTTAGATGTCAAGCAACGCAACAGCACTGATCAGTCCCATCAAGATCTCTGCTCTGACAAATCCCCTACATACGCCGTTTATTCTACTCACAAGTCACTTCTCTGGGATTGCCATGATGCTCTTCTGGGCTCGAATAACTTCCCCTCTAGTCACCAGCCGCCATCTGGAGGGAGAAGGACAACCGAACAGTGGGCCTATACTCTGCCATGCCTCATCTGTCGAATCCATGATACTAAGAGGACACCTCTCTCCTGTATTTGAATGACTTCCCTCCCAATCGTCAGCCGACACCTGGAAGGAGAAAGATGACTCAGCCTCCAGCTCATCCCTTAACCGCCTCCTGTGCATGGTCAAAACCAAAGGGTCAAACTCTCAGAGGCGATGATCTATAAAAGGAGGGAAATAAGGTAAAAAAGGGGGGAGGGGGAGGGGGGATTTTTTCTGCTACTTCTTCATAAAAGCTCTGAATTTACCTTTGCTAAAAAAGAACTAATAACTCTAAAAGAGTATCCTCTGAGGACCTCAATAGCCCGGAGACTCTCCTTCAAACCCCTCTCAAGCTCACCAGCTGACTTGACCGTCGGAGGTACCACGGGGGAAATGAGCTCCGCCCTCCCACGAGTTTCTTCTTGTTTGTACGGAAAGTTCGAGAGTTCTAGTCTAAGGATCAGGCATAAAGTCGGAGGAGGAGTCGGTTCCATCTCTCATCCTCCCCCTATTCGCCGCCGGCGCGAAGGCCAGAACCGTAACCCCATCGACTGTGTGTTCACGGACATCAACATAGACTATTTCCATTTCTTGTTAACTAACTCAGTTAGCTATTAACTTTCACATGAATC